TATTCTGTTCCATTGATCTATGTGACAGTTTTTATGCCAGTACCATACTGTCTTGATGATGACAGCTTTGTAATAGAGCTGGAAGTCCGGAATTGTGATGCCACCAGCTTTGCTTTTCTTTTTCAACATTCCTTTGGCTATTCGGGGTCTTTTCTGGTTCCATACAAATTTTAGGATTATTTGTTCCATTTCTTTGAAAAAAAGGTGATGGTATTTTGATAGGGATTGCATTAAATCCCTATCAAAAACCACAAGGTTTCTTAAGCAAACAAGCCTTGTCTGGTTAGCATGTGGCTCGATGCAGAAACAACTGTCCCCCCTGTCCCTTCTAAGAAGAGAACAGCTTCAGTGCCATCGGCTCTGCAGAAACCTCCCTGACTCAGAAAACGGAAGAATGTGGCCAGCAAGGAACACATTTTCAACAAGCTGAGCAAACATGGCTTTGACGTCAGGGAGGGAGTCTATACATGGGTAACAAAGGAGACGTGCACACATGGGGATTTTGTGGTACCTGGGCGGCTGCCCAGAGCACTAAATCCTGGAGTTGAGAATCCCTTTGAAGACCCTTCACAACCCTTGGGAATTTCAAAGAATATCATCATAACTCAACAAACCCTCCAAATGTCATTTTACCTTGTTCTTCTGCCTCCCCATTGTGCTGACTGTCCCTAGTGACAGAATGCAGCCCAGCCATTGCCTGAGGGAGGGGGTGGGTTGCAGCAGATGTGCACATCTGGATCACCTGCTGCTAACCCATCAGGCCCCAGCTACCCTGTGGCTTTGGCTTCCACAGGACATTTCTGGGGGTGGCCTCCTCTCTGAAGTAACTGAATCTTTTAGAATAAAGGTTTTAACTATCGATTAAAACATTAAACATTAAAACATTCCACGATGTTCAGGCTGACCAGTAAACTGTACTTTGGGGACTGGAATCTTCCTCGTTTCCACATATGTGAAAAGCAACTCTTGGACTCTAGTCCTAAAACACATTTTATTTATTTTTTTTAAAGATTTTATTTATTTATTTGACAGAGGGAGAGAGATAGCGAGAGCAGGAACACAAGCAGTGGGATTGGGAGAGGGAGAAGCAGGCTTCCCGCTGAGCAGGGAGCCCGATGCGGGTCTTGATCCCAGAACCCTGGGATCATGACCTGAGCCAAAGGCAGACGTTTAATGACTGAGCCACCCAGGAGCCCCTCCTAAAACATATTTTAAAGTGGAGAATCCATAGCAGGAGGTGTTCGGAGATCTAAGGGTGTGCTTCCACATTCTCCTGTTATAGAAGTAATTTCAGCAAAAGGCAGCTTTAATTCTCGTTCTACTTCTACCTTCCCTCTGTGGGTTTTCCACACAGTTCCTCTGAATACAGAGGGAAATCCAATATCTACATGGTGACTTTCCACCCTGTCCTGCCGTATTGGGTTCCCTTGTTTTTAATCATTCAGTGGTGAGTATACAATGACATTGCACATCTGTTTCTGGTCTGGGAAGATCAGTAAGGATGGGGGTGATTGAGAGCTACATTAGGTGAAGCAATTACAAAGAAATGTTAAAAAGTGGAAGTGTACCATTTCCCCATTTTTATCTAATACATCCAACATCTGGGAAAGGATGACGTGAAGCTCAGTTGATGGGGTAGAGTGGGGGCGGTGACTTTTGGTAGTGCATTAAAGTTGAGCAAACGGTACACTCTGCAATAACCTAGCTGTAAAGATGGCCTGCTGGGAGAGGTGTCTATGAGTGATGGCAAAACCCATTGGAATTCGATGGCTGAGTTCGTCCCATATGACTTTGAATATGTGATGGCTTCTTTATGTTTTGTCTTTTAAAACAATCTGGCATTTAATTACAATTTGGCATTCCCCTTTGATGATATTCCTTTATATGGGGTTCCAGCTATCTAAAAGGCTCTAGGTAATGTTTAAAAGCACCAGACTTATTTCCAACAAGTAGCTTAAGCACTAGCAGAAACTGGCATATTAATATTAAACCCAATGGAAATGCAATTTTTTGGTTTGAAGAATAAACATATGTTGGGAATTGCAAAAGTCAAAGTCCTCCAAGCAAGGTTAAGTTGCTCTTTAATACATTGAGTGTACATATTTAGAAGTCTGGGGATTTACAATCCACGAGAGGACTATAACTTTCTCTTTTTCTGATTTGGTGTGTGTAAATTTGTAGCACAAGTGTTTCATTTCTCTAGACATTTGCATTTAATTTGCTGCTGATTTTAATGTGAAAAAAGGAAAAAAAAAAAAGTAAAGGTAAGGAAATCATGCTCCAGGATGCATGCATTACATTTTGAGGACTAAGCTGACTTTTTCAGTTATGTGTTGTAACGAAGTTGTAATCTCAGGGAAGTGTGTGTGTAACACCCCACTCAGAGCATTTCATTTTGACCTTAAAGAATTTCCAAAGAGTCCAAATAGTCACAGAGCCCCATGCTGCCTTAAAACACAATACTCTATCTTGATCTGTATCTTCTTTCGTTATTTAGAAGTACAGTCTACCACTTTCAACCTTAGTTCTTATGATGCTTTTTCTAAATCCCTGCCGGCTTCCCTCATGATAGGAATGACCACATGCATAATTTTTCCTTTGGTCTCTCACTTGTCTCTTTTGTCCTGTTGTCCTTTTTTTTTTTTTTTTAACTTGCCACTTTGAGGAACTTAAAACCAAAAAGGGAGGGAAGGAGAGGCACCTGGGTGGCTCAGTCGGTTCAGTGGCTGACTTAATTTAGGCTCAGGTCATGATCTCAGGGTCGTGAGATGGAGCCCCAAATCCGGCTCTGAGCGTGGAGCCTGCCTAAGATTCTCTCTCTCTTCTCCCTCTGCCCCCACCCTGCTCACACACACACACTCTCTCTCTGTCTAAAAAAATAATAAATAAAATAAAAATTTTTAAAAAAGAGGGAAAGAAAGCAAATAATTAGAGGAAATTAGTGTAATGCTGAGGAGACATTTAGGTTTAGAGGCACTTACAGACTATCTTTGGGAAAACTTGGAAATTCTTATATATTAGAGATTTGACTCTATGAGGGGATTTTTCAGCTGGTAGAGCCAGTCCCCTGGAGATGGGTCTGGCAGGGACCCAAAGGCAGAACTCATAGAACTGGAAGCATTTTCTACTGCGTGCATCTAGCGCACGCAATGGAAGTCTGGGATGAACTCCGTCAGGCGGTATGAGTCCACCGGTTCTGGATGCTTCTGGATGCGGCTGCTCTGGGCTTCACCTGGCCCAGCAGGTGTCCCTCAGATATGCCACACACAGGACAGCCGATTCTAGGCAAGGGTAAAAATAGAGAGAAAAAGGACACATTTCTGTTGTTGCTGTTTACAGAACCCAATTCTTTGGTCTTCAGAGGTCTTGGCCTCATCGAGCTGTAGGTTGTTGTTTTTCATTTAGTTCCCCGAAAGAATGTGGAGGGGGGAAATATTATAAACACCCTCTCCTTCGGCATTGTTTGATTTTTTTAAAAAAAAATTAATAAAAACAGCTCCTAGCAGCTGGTTGAAACAATTATGCTCTTCACAAAAGCCTTTGCAGATGACACCGAATGTTAAGAAAATAATTCTTTCAATTAGTGTGTGGCCAGTGCACCTGTGAGCTGGAATCATCCAAGGAACCATATCCGCGAATGTCAGTAAGAACAATTCAGGAATTCATCCTCTCTGCCTTTTTCCACTTCCACGTTCACACAGATGTTAATCCTGGGGCACAGATGTTGAAAGGGCCGCCTACCTCGAATCCCAGGAGCATGAGAATCATGAGTTCAGATCAGGAAAATGATTAATTTCTAACGGCTATCACTATCCTTTCTCCTTGTTCTTAGGGCTGCCTCTTTTTTATCTCTTTCCCAAGCTAGAACACATAATTCATTGGTCCTTGTGTACAGTTGGCTTTCAGGTACAACAGCAATTTACTAAGCTCTTATTCCCCCAAAATATTCATCGAACACCCCATGTGCACAGCATTGTGCTTGGTGTGAGGAATATAAACGCGAGTAAGACCCACCTTCTGCCTTGGAAATTCTTATCATTTTGCTGCAATCAGTTTTTCTTTTCTGCTTTAGTGATATTTTCTATCGTACCACCATCCTGTGTTTTGGGGGGTTCCATTTTTGTCTGTGGGAGTGAACAGGGGTTCTGCCTTTGTATCAATTATTGAATTGCTAGGTAACAAACCACCCCCAAAATAATGGCTGAAAACAAGTACCCCTTGTTAATGCTCACAAGTATATGGGTCAGCTGGAGTGTTCTGCTGATCTGGCCAGCTCAGATGACTGGGGCAGGGCTTATACTCTCATCTGTTGTCAGCTGGTGGCTCAATGGGGACTGACCCAGTCTGGGGGGGGCGGGTTCTTACTTCCATGTCCAGTGATTGGTTGGCTCTTAGTGGGAGCGATGGGGGTGACTGGGCCACATCGTCTCTCATCATCCGGAAGGCTAGCCCATGCTCATTTGAAGAGCGACGACCGGTTTCCAAGGAAGCCAGCAACAACATGCAAGACTGTCTAGGGCTTCGGCTGACAGCTAGCACACGGTCTCTTTTGCTGTGTTCTATTGGCCAAAGCAAGTCATAAGGCCATTTCAGATTTAAGTGGTGGGGAAACAGACTCCACCCTGTAAATCGGAGAAGTTGGAAAGTCACATAATAAAGAGTATGGATGCAGGGCAGAGTGAAGAAATGGAGCTATTTTTGCAATCACATCCTTTTTAATCTTTACCATGGTGTGGAAAGCAACCTGTCATATCCTTATGCCTTATTGAATTTTATGAACCTTGCCCATAAATCAGTTTGTATCTGAGAATAACCTGGATCTACCTTAATATGTATGGATCACAATTTCTAAGGTGATACTGTGGATTAGGAAAAATCTGTGTTTATAAAAGGGGGTGGGGGACGTGTTGCTGAAAAATCTCTCAAATCTTTTAATATGTTTTTGTGACTGCAAATGGTTTCTGCATTTCCTAATCTTATTTGATCTCTTCTTCAAGGAGACACGTGTGTTCCAAGGAACAGTCTGTAGAAAATGGTGTTCCAAGCTGTGTTTCCAGTCTTGGGCATTCACCTCTGAAGTGCAAGCTGTGGCAAGAATCAGCCTTCTAGACCAAGGGATATAATGACAAAAGAAGGACAAAGGTAAGGGAGGGCATTTACACTCTTGGAATTGCTTAGCCTCCCCTGTGAGGGAGTCAGTGCTTCCATGTGGTATCATGGCGTCCTTCAAGCCAGAACGCCTTGTGGGAAATCTGACCCTCTTCTCCCGCATGGCTTGCTCAATGCCTCACTACTAGTCAGGGTCACAGTTCAGATCATACAGCTCAAGTTAATGCTGTAGCGGATGCTCGATACAAGTAAGAGGTGTTTGGGTTTTGAAAAATTCCTTTCTTAGTAAAAATGTGGGACTCGTGATTGTAACAATTAAGCTTAGGCGAGATGCTGTTCCCAACTGACCTTGTGATGTTAATTCTGGCTTCAGTCCCCTTAGCAAATTAAGACACTTAGATTAACAAAATAATTATCACTATAAGAGAAATGTGTGAATCACTTACCGTGTACTGTGTTAAGTTACCAGGTACTTCCAGGTACTAAATCATTTGGTAAAGACCGTGCTCCTACCATAAGTCAGCGGTTTTTCCAGGAACGGGTCTTCAGAGAAGTCCTCTGTGCCCTATGGAGCTGCTGTTTTAAGAGAGGCGGGAGGTGTGTCCGATCAGATGGAAAGGACTAAGAAAATGGAAGACACTTCTGAATGCAACCACAGCTTTTTTATTTGTTGTCATGGCCCCAAAGTTACCTGTCACATCCCCTATGTCATACTGAGTCTCAATTAGTGAATTAAATCAGGGAATAGGACAGTGACCCGAGGGGCTACTTTTATATGAGGAGGTTAGAAAAGCCACGAGGAAGTGGTCCTTAAACAAGTTAGCAGTATACACAGAACCGAGAATATTCTGGAAGGCAAAATAAGATACCAACTGCGGGGGATTTTGAGAAACTGAAAGAAAGCAGTGAATGTGAGTGAGGCAGAGCAGACAAGGTGTCAAGGGGTGACCTGAAGAGGCTGGTGTGAAGACCTGGAGCCAGAGCACGGAAGGCTCTGGAAGCCAGGGGATGGCATTCGGATTGTATCCCAACTGCCTGGGGAGCTGTCAGAGGTTTTTAAGCATGAGAGTGGTCAATCTTACGTGTGGGCATTAAATGTATTCCTCTGTCTGTTGTAGAACGTAGATCACGGGCGGCCAGAAGGGGAGTCAGGAGATCAGATCCCGGGCTACTGTCGTGGTTTAGGTGAGAGACGGTGGTGGCTGAAGCACAGATGCAGAGGGGTGAATGTCGCTGAGAGTTGCTTTGGAAGTAAAGTCGCAAGGACCTGGTGAGGATGCATTAAACTTGAGGAGTGCAGGAAAGAGAGGAGGTGAGGATTATTCTTAAATTTGGAGTTTTGAGCCATTGGGTAGAGGTGGTTTTATTTACTCATGGAGGTTGAGACATTGGCAAAAAAAAAAAAAAAAAAAAAAAAAAAGTCTGCTTTCGCCATAGGAAGGGTGTGTAAAGATTGAATGTTCTAAAGTGGCCACCACACTCTTGTACAATGTGATCTTGCTGTGTGCCCTTCAGGAAGAGCAATGTAATTCCCTTTCTATGAATCTGGGTTGACCTCAGAGGCTCCCTTACAACCAGAAGGTGGTGGAATTGATGCAGGGACTTCCTAGGGTGGGCCAGAGGAAGATTTGCAGAGGAACGCAGACCTCTAAAAATAAGGTCCAGCTCTCCTGGCTTAGAGCAATAGGGACCCGACTGGGGGCCATGGCTCCCCTTACCCTCCCAGGGATCAACAGGGACTGATCATCAGAGCAGCTTCCCCCCAAGGGAACCCTGGGGCTGGTTAGCTCCGCTCAAGCCTCTTTCCTTTGCTGTCTATCCTCCCTCCCTTTTCTGCACGACGCACATCTCTGTCAAAGCCGGGCAGGCCCCCGTCCTCTGCCACACGCACACCCCACTCCCACACAACCTCTCAGTTCCCCTAGTCAGCCCTGCCTCTGTCACACTTCTACCACCAGCTCTTGGGTCCTTTATTATAAAGGCCTTTTCCGAGTATGCATTCTACACCCTTTGCACCTTAATTGGGACTTGATTTTCCCTCTTGACATCATTTGCCTCCATCTCAAGCACAGGGCCTGCCTTCTTGGATATCCAGAACTTTGGGGGAGAAGGAGGGGCCAGAAGGAATCCTGCTTCATCTGCTGCCCCCTTGCGCTGACCCACATCCCTTCTTCCACTCCGTCTGCACCACACGGCTGAGCCACGTCCCTCCCATCCGGGGCAGGGCAGCTCAGGACGGGCAGGACACCTCCATATTCTTTTGGGGTTTCTCTCAAACTTTCTTCCATGCCCCATATCTTTTCCTCTTCCTAGGCATTTCACTTAAAATTATTTTACCTAACATTATTTTTTGAGGTGGAAACATGGCAGTGAAAAAGAGTGCATCAGTCTCGCCCTCATGAGGTTTGTAATCAACTTCAGTGTCTACAGTCACATTGCTTACTTCCCCAGACAGCTTGCCCAAGGCCATTTAATAGGAGGTGAAGTATTGGATTATAAAAACTGTTTCTTCCACTGAGTTTTTGCCATCATTCCGACACACGTGATTGGAACATGTATATACATACATAGACTATGTACCCCCTCCTCTGGGCTTCCATAGCCCTTTGATCATTTTCCATTTCTCATGCTGTTGTTACTATGTCAGTATTCCGTGTCTGCGTCTACTCCTAAAGCATACCCTGAATATCTTGAGGGCCAGAACCATGTCTGACTTACCTTCTTTCCCTTCCCCACCTTTGCTCGGTCCTAAGAATGGCTCAGTGCCTCCAAAATGACGGTAGCCTTTGCTGATCAATGTCATAATTTATTTTAAGGATTATTAATTACAAAATTATGCATTGACAAATGAAAGGCACAGTTGACTGTTAATGTCATGCTGTTACTTTGATAATAAGAAGTCCTCTTATTAACTGTTTTGGGACTAGAGTTCTTTCCTTTTTGCTTGTGTACAAAAGCAGATAATCATGGGCTTAGTGGCAGGGGTAGTTTCTAATACTCTTAGAAAGTTAGAATCAGCTCCAAATAATGCTTGTTGGTAATGGCTAATATTTGAGAGTGTGTGTGAGGGGAGGAATGATGGATATAAAGACTTTGGGCAAATTTATGTTTTAAAAACATGGCATATTTACTGACTTTATGACATTTTTGTCCCATTGTTTACTTTTATATACCATATTGTTGTTAGTTTTTGCTCCCATTGAAGAAGGAAACCCTCAAGTTTTACTGACAAACCTTATGGCCAGGCAAGGACTTCAGTGGGAAGCCCCTCTCTGAGCTCCTTCATGCAGTCAGGGACAAAATCCACCGTTTCCGGCTGGGCACACAGCGCACAGCTGTGACCGAGAGGGCACTGGCAGGTGTGTTCTCCCTTTGCAGGAAGCATATTTTACACACGTCTTGGCCATATTAGAGAGGAACAGAGGCATGTGGGGGCGTGTTTGGCTGCCTGACACGCTCGCCATGGAGGATCTTCCTTACATCTTACCTGAGCATCAGAGCTGGGCCTTACTCCCAGTTCTCCCAATGGCTTTGCTCTGGAGCTGACCTGGAGGCCTCAGGTCGGTGTGCTGAGAGAATCATTTGGTGTGTCAGTGTTTGCAAGTGTTCACATGTGTTTCTGGGTGTTGAATATGAGTGCTCTGTACCCTTGCCAGAGCATCCGGCAAAACACAGCCATCTCCATGGAAAACTGCATCTCGTCTTTGAAGTTTCCTTCATGGTTCACAAAATCTATGTGGGAGTTCATGGATTCTTCACATCGGAAGTTTGGGCAGTGGTCCTAGGGTCTTCTCATTAGGAATCCCACACTGGAAATGCCATTATTAACTGAAGACAGATTATACCACCCGAACACCGCATGTGTCTCTCATTTAGCTTCTTGCACTAGCATCGAGGTTGGGATAACCAGCCCAGCTCTGTCTTGGAGTTGCCCTAGAGAGCACCAGACCTTGCCCTCGTGGGCAAAAGAGGCTCGTCCTTTGCTTTTGGAACATAGCACGAAGTGAGTGATAAGCAGATTTCAACAGGAGGAAAAACCACCTCGCTCAATCTAAATCACAGAGCTCCAATCAAGGACCTTGATGACAAGTGAAATTAAATAAAACATGAGCGATGAAACACTGTAATATGTTTACGGTGAGCTAGTCCAGACAGCTGATAATTAACTGTTGCCCAAAGAGCAACTTGGCAGTCGATGGCTGTGACCAGGACACAGAGCAGTAGTTAATTGAAAGTACGAGTAAAGATCTTTGTATCTTTCGAAGAAGCATGTGTTCTTCAACAGGGAGGATGGTACAGGAAAATCATGGGCTCTTCCAGTGCATGGGCTGCCTCTGGGGCTGGATTCTGACCCCTTGTCGGTTTTCGGCTCGCACATTCCAATCTGCCGTGGTCATGCTGTTTATGCTGTGCAGTCCCGGAGCAAATGTCTCTGTGTGTTTTTTCCTGGACTACCACCCACAGAACCTACAAAATCTGAAAACAAATAAATGCAGATGCGCACAATTTAAATAAGTTAAAAAACATGTTTTTATTATCTGCCTAGATTCTTACACTTAAAATAGTATTGGCTTGAATCCTTTCCATCCCCCTGATTTTGCTGAATTTGAAACAACCCTGCAGAGAGGAAAGATAGTATTTAGAAAAGGAAACCAATTCTTCAAGTGAGCTGAAAGAAAATTCACACATAATAAGAAACCAAGAAACTAAAAGGAGGCCTGGAAGATGCCTGGACTGCTTGCGATCTTGGCTCCCTTCTCCGTGAAACGAAGCTTGGATCAGATGACCCTGTGCTCCCCCACCTCTCCTGCTTCATGGACTATTATTGGAATAGTATTCAAAGAATGTGCAGGAAGCTAAGGCCAAACACGTGTGATTTCAAATGTGATTTGGAAATAGAATGATCATACAATAGAACCCCTAATCCAGATTTCTCCCATGGTTCCTGGGCTGTGTACATCGAGGTGATGGAGCCAAACCTCAGAGGGCCTGAATCTGGTTGATCAGACTTTTCAGTTGACGCCACCCTATTA